AAGGGGAGAGGAGGTGGGTGACATTCTGGCCGGTGGGTTGGGAAACTCAACCCTCAGAGTGGTCTGGGATCAGTTTGCAGAATGGGGAGGGGGTTCCCATCAGAACTGCATCAGCCCGACTTCATAGGTGAGGAATTATGGCTCAGAGGGGCTGCAACCTCCCCCGTGGGTGCACAGCCAGGCGGGGCTCAGGTGGCTTCAGCGCATTTCCGAGGGGTTGGGTCCCAGCATCCCCAGGGACCAGCCCTCCTGTTTCCAGCTGAGGAAACTGAGGCCTCGAGGGGGGGGGTTCTGGCTGAGGTCACATAACCCTGGAAGATTCAGAGGGTGGGGCTGGGCAGCCGCCCCACGTGGGGCCGTGTATGGTGGCTGGACAGAGGCCAGGCAGAGGAGGGAGGTGGCTGTTACCAGGGGGAGAGGCAGATTCTGGCTGGGAGCCCGGACGGGGCCACCTCCTGCTCCTTCAGGCCGAGGCAGGACGCAGATCTGGACCCTACAGATACCAGATGCCGGAGGCCGGGGCCAGTGTCACACCACCTCGGCACCCCCTATTCCGCCCTGCGCTGAGGGACTCTGATTTGCCTTTGGGCAATGTCACCCTGGGACAAAGCAGGCCTGGCACCTCCCGGGGCTTTGGCCTCCCTGGGTGACCAACTGGTTCCAAGTGCAGCATTTGATGGCCGGCCTTGCACTCAGGCCTCCCAGTCTGCACATAGGGCCTTTTGCTGGGCTGCTGGGAGGGTCGGAGCAGACCCTGCTGGGCATGCAGTACCCCTCGGCCTCCTTCTTGCAACCGAGCCTCAGTTTCCCCGGCCAGAGCCCACACTCCCTGCCCATCAAACAGCAATCACTGAGTGGGCTTGGTGCCCTTGATTCTCCACATCTGGCACATCCCTGGCAAGTGGCAATGGCCAAGGGTCTTTGGGGAGGGATGTGGGGTCCTCATACTCCACTGTGTTATGTGGCCTCAGCTGAACAGCCCACATCCCACTCTCCTTGTGGCTTCATTTTGGAAATCAGGGTCTCCAAAGGGGTTCTTCAAGGGACCCTGTCTACAAAATGCAGGATGAAGCTAGGCTGAGCCTCTGAATCCTACTGAACACTCTCCATTGTCCTCAAAATCAATCCCACCAACTCCTTGAGGCCGGCGCACATTGCCCTCCCCTTCCTCCCTTCGGTCCTTCTGCTGGCCATTCCGGCCATTAGAGTTCTACTCTACAGGCTCTGCCCTCGCTGCCCTCACTGCCTGGAGTCTCCACTCTCGCATCTTTCCATGCAAGCCCCCTTCCTCATGGTATGTGTCACCTCCTAACACACTCTCATCCCTTCTTGAACCAGAAGCTCATGAGGGCAGGACCAGGCCTTGTGTCCACCACTGAGCCTAGCACTTGACAGTAGCGAAGACATTTGTCAAATGACCAAATGTCCCTTTTCCTCCTTCCTTGGAGATCCCATTGCCTCACTGGACAGAAGAGGAGACCAAGGGTCCAAGGGGATCACCCCCCTTCTCCAGTGCCCCTGATTGCTGCTCACCTGGCTCAGGGGCCCCATCACGGGGCCTGGCGGGCAGTGGGCGGGGGCCCCGTGGGCGAGGGCCGGGCCGGGCCAGGGCCACGGGCCCCAGGAATTCGACGTAGGTGCCAGGGAAGTCACCTCGCTGCCGTGTGCGCTCATTGAGGCCGGGCATCCAGCCCACGTTCTGTGGGCAGCGCTCGCCACCCTCGGCCACACCCAGTGCCTGCAAGGCCGCCCGGCTCACTACCAGCACATCGCCAGGCAGCAGCTCCAGGTCCTCTGGCCGCTCCCGGCGGAACGGGTACAGAGCGCGGTACTGGAAACCCTCAGGGCCCGCCATGGCCGCGTGGGTGGGGTGGGGTCTGGATGGTTAGGTGGCTGCTTGGAGTCCCACTGGCCCCATTGGCTGGAGCAGGGTTGGGAGGGTCCGCTGGGTTGGCTTGGGGTGCTGGGACCTCTATCTCCAGCAGTCACAGGCGACCACGGGGGCCGCTCATGCTTCGCTTCAAATTATTCCATGACCCTTACAAGGGCCACTCGTCGCTGGGTCCACCATTCGTCAACTGGTGGGAGGGGGTTGGTGGCGTGGTGTCAGGTCACTGGGCCACTGAGTCCTCCATCAGCAGGTGAGGCTGGGGCAGGCCGCTCACGCCCTCACATGGAGGGCCATGGGCGCCCAAGGGTGGCGGCTCTGCTGGCTGCACCAGACGAGGGAGCCAAGGGTGCAGGCTGCCACCATGCTCGGCCCGCCGAGGACGCCGACCTAGGGAGACAGGGATAGGGCAGCGTTAGCCAGGCCAACTCCTCTCACCCCCAACACGGAAATGGGCCCAAATCCTGATTTGGAATTCCCTGAATCACTGAGTGACCCTGAGGTCAGTCCCTCTCAGGGCCTCAGCTTCTCCATGTGTAAAATGGGTCTACTGACAGCCTTCCCTTGGAGCTGCTGGGAGTAGAGCTCCCAAGAAACTGCCCCAGGTGTACTACATGCTCAGTAAATCAGTTTTTCTTTTTTTTTCTTTTTTGAGACAAAGTCTTGCCCTGTCGCCCAGGCTGGAGTGCAGTGGCGTGATCTCAGCTCACTGCAACGTGTCTCCCAGGTTCAAGTGATTCTCTTGCCTCAGCCTCCCAAGTAGCATGCCACCACGCCCAGCTAATTTTTGTATTTTTAGTAGAGATGAGGTTTCACCATGTTGGCCAGGCTGGTCTTGAACTCCTGACCTCAAGTGATCTGCTCGCCTTGGCCTCTCAAAGTGCTGGGATTACAGGCATGAGCCACCTTGCCCAGCCTGTTTTTTTTCAACAGAGGTGGGGTCTTGCTATGTTGCCCAGGTTGGTCCCAAACTCCTGGGCTGAAGCAGTCCTCCCGCCTTTGCTTTCCAAAGTGTTGGGATTGCAGGCATGAGCCACTGCACCCGGCCAGTAAACAAGCTTTTCATCGCCCCTGTTACAGAAGGGGAAACTGAGGCTCAGAGCAGGGAGGTGTCTAGGGCCGTGCGGTAGGCCAGGAGGAAGCCAGGACTTACACCTAGATCTGCCGACTTCAAGGCCCAGTTGGACATGAGGGGGCAGCAGCCAGGTGGCCAGATACCCAGGTGGCCAGATACCCAGGGTAGGGAGGACACAATGGGGGCCACTCCGGTTGCTTTGGGAGCTCCATGGAGGGGTCAGGCCAGCTGAACTAAGAGGTAGGGAAGGAAGTCCAGGAAGAGGCCCCTGCACAAGCAAAGGCCTACAGGTGAGTCCAAGCAAATGGACCTCCAGTCTCTGCAGAGGAGGAGTGAGTGGGCTGGCAGGTAGCTCCAGCCTGGGGCCCAGAGGAGGCGCAAAATGCAGATGGGGAGGTGCTTAGAGGGAACCTTAGCCCCAGGGAGGGACAGGGAGCCAGGAGAAGGTGGGGGTACTGCAGCTGAGGAGGAGGGGAGGCTGCCGGCCGCAGGGCATTGATCATTTCCCCAGGAGCCCCAGCCTGGGGAGGCAGAGATGGGCACAAATTCCCAGCCTAGCCCTGCAGGTTCAGACCTCCTGTGATGGACAGGGCTAGGGTGACGGATGGATGTGCTGTTCTGGAGAATGGATCATCACAGTGGATAGGAAGGTGCGCTAGGCATAGGGAACGGCACATGCAAAGGCTTGGCAGCGGGTAAGCTGCTTGTCAAGGATTCAGGGTGGCTATAAGGATAGGTGCTATCCACTAAGGGGCCCGAGTGTCAGGTGGAGGCTCTGAGCATCCTTCAGTCATGGGGAGCCCCAAGAGGTGTCCGAGCAGGGCGCAGGGGCGCCACATTCTCGGGTGCCTAACTTACCCACTCCCAGGTCTCTGTTACCCTCGTTCTACAGGTGGGGAAACTGAGGCCCCGAGAGGGGATGCCCAGGGAACCGCCTGGATCTGCCTGCCAGCCCGCCCCCACGCCCCGGTGTGCGCGCCCCGGGAGCAGCGCTCACCGAATCCGGGAGGCAGGAGGGGCGGGGCAGGCAGGGCTGGGGGCTCCGCGGGTGAAGGCAGGGCCTGCGCGCTCACACAGACGCGCACTTGGGTCTGCATGGACCCGACTACCCGGCTAGGGGACCGGAAGTGGGATCGACCTTCCCCCCGGCCCTCCTGCACCCTATTCTGCCCCGCACAATGCCTGGGCGCCCCTCGGTACTATTCGAAGCCCCATTCCAGGCAGGGCCTCCCTTCATTTGGGGCCGCGGCTCCAGTCCGGTATCTTGGACGCGGGGAATACCCCCATTCTGTCCCGACCGTCTCAGGGAGGCTGCACCGCTGCGGAACCGAGCCCGAGGCCCCCCCCCTTGCCTGCGGCCCCCCCAGTTCCCGCGGGGCCCGACGCAGCCTGGCGCTTGCGTTCTGGCTTCCACCGGGGCCCCGCACTGTCCCCAGGCGCCCCGCGTTTAAGCACACTCCCAGCCGCCCCCGCCACGAGGGCCAGTCAGGATTCACCTGGTCGCGGCCGCCACCGCCGCCGCAGTCGCCGTCACACCAAACCGAGCCCGCCCCGTGGCTCCACCGCGGCCACCGTCGCCGCAGCCGCGGGATCCCCGCCTCTGCCGCCGCCACGGTTCCGAGCGGCCCGGCCCGCCCCCGGCGGAAATGCCCGAGCGTATTCGGGCCGGGCTGGTGAACGGAGGCCGAGGCGGAGTCTGAGGGGAGGGGGCACCCGAGTGTTTCCGGAAGTAACCGAACGTAATCCCGCGGGACTGGTGGACTAGAGGGAGCCCCGAGACAGCCGAGCATTTCCGGAGGTAGCCGAGTGCAATCGGGTCGGCGAAGGCTCCGAGGCTAGGCTCGGCTGAGCTCGGCAGGACTTAGAGACGCCCGAGCGCTTCCGGAAATGGCCGAACATTCTCTCCCGCTGGACTGGCACAACGGAGGCCGATCCCCGTGACCGCCGAGCGTTTCTGGAAATAACCGAATGCGCTCAATGCCCAGTGGAGGCCTTGGGAGTTTAGACTCAGAGGGACCGCCAGCTTATGGAAATTGCTGAAGCATAGATGGTTCCGAGGGCAAATGAGGCTTTCTCAAACTCAGCAAACAGGGGGCACTGGAGTGGGGAAAGGGCCTGCGGCAAAAAGCAGAGGTCCGAGAAAGCCAGGGTTGAAGGAGTTTCCATGGCAACCCAGAGCGTCCGGAAACAGCCAACGATCTCGACCCCTACGGGCACTAGAACTTAGCGGACTTGAGCCCAGATGCCAGCTGTTTCCGGAAATAGCCGAACGCTCTCGGAGATGGGGGTGTAGCCAAGAAGATTTGCAAGCCGGCTGAGCGCCCCGGAAGTAACGGATTGCTCTAGGGCTGGGCTGCGTTCGGCTACAGGAAGTTTTATGGCAGAGCGCAAGCTAAGACCAGGATAGAAAGGACGCGACGATTGCTTATTTTATTATTATTATTTTTTGAGAGGGAGTTTCGCTCTCGTTGCACAGGCTGGGGTGTAATGGCGCTTTCTCGGCTCGCCGCAACCTCCACCTCCCGAGTTCTAACGATTCTCCTGCCTCAGCCTCCCGAGTAGCTGGGATTACAGGCATGCGCCACCACGCCCGGCTAATTTTGTATTTTTAGTAGAGACGGGGTTTCTCCATGTTGGTCAGGCTGCTTTGGAACTCCTGACGTCAGGTGATCGGCCCGCCTCGGCCTTCCAAAGTGCTGGGATTACAGGCGTGAGCCACTGCGCACCGCCGCTTATTTATTTTATTAACATAGCTCAGGGCGTCCAGGAGGTCGAGGCTGCAGTGTGCCGTGATGGCGCCACTGTACTCCAACCTGGGTTACAGAGCGAGACCTTGTCTCAAAAACATAAAAATAAAAAACATAGGCCGGGAGTGGTGGCTCACGCCTGTAATCCCAGCACTTTGAGAGGCCGAGGCGGGCGGATCACGAGGTCAGGAGATCGAGACCATCCTGGCTAACACGGTGAAACCCCGTCTCTACCGAAAATATAAAAAATTACTCGGGCGTGGTGGCGGGCGCCTGTAGTCCCAGCTACTCGGGAGGCTGAGGCAGGAGAATGGCGTGAACCCGGGAGGCGGAGCTTGCAGTGAGCAGAGATCGTGCCACTGCACTCCAGCCTGGGCGACAGAGCGAGACTATGTCTCAAAGAACAAAACAAAACAAAAAAAACATAGCTCAGGGCCCAGATGTCTGGAGGAAGCTTTTAAGGGCAGAGCTATGATGGAGTACTCATAGGTAGCAGGAGGCCACTACCAGCGATGGCATCAGGAAGAATCTCAACAGCAAACTCCCAGGCAGCCCTCAAAACCCACTTGCAATGACTTTAAGCCATGAGTCGATTTCACTCCCCTCCCCTCCCCACTCTTCCCTTCCTCCTTTCTCAGCCTCACAAATCCAGACGTTGGAGCTCATCTTTGTAAATACGGGCTTTTATTCACTGCCAGCTCCAGGATGGAAGGAGGGGGTGAGTCATGCACAGCCTTGGTCTACCCTCCAACACTAGGCAGTGCTGGGCAGGGGACTCAGAAAGGGACGCAGAGTGGGCTGTTGATGTCTGGAAAGCTCCCTCACCAGAGTGCCCAGTGGGTCACACAGCATCATGGGGGATGAGCTGGGGCTGGAGTCGGCTGTATCTGACACCAGACCCTCCATTCAAGCTCCCTTGATGACAACGCCCACAACAGGGTCTGGCTGATGCTCCATTCTGCCACGACTCCTGCTGGGTGATCATTGGACAGGTTTCCGCCCCTCGCTGGGGTCTCAGCTGCTTTGTCTGTAAAACGGAGGTGATGATGCCACCTCCAGCCTTCTCAAGGCTGGCTGAGGGAGAAGCCACGTAAAAGCGCTTGGCACACAGTAGGTGCTTAATAAACAGTCAATGGGATTAGTCTTGTAAACACAAGGAAACTGAGGCACAGAGTGGGAAAGCCATTTTCCCAGAGCCACACAGTGAAGCTGAAATTCAAACTCGAGCCTCAACTGGGTTTTCTTGCTTGAACTTCATCCCAGAGAGGCTCTGACATATGGAGGGAACCCCTAACAGGTGTTTCAGATACATCACGGCCAAGGGCTCACTCTGCTGGGCCTCAAACACACGGCATCTTGTCCAGGGTAGACTAGACAAAGTGAGGCCGAGGCAGAGCCTGAGGGGAGGGGACACCGACTGTTTCCAGAAGTAGCTGAACATAATCCCGCAGGACTGGCATACTGGAGTGTGCCCCGAGACAGCTGAGCATTTCCGGAGGCTGCCTTGGCAGTGCCAGGTGAGGCCTATGCCTTCCTTTATCAGTGCCCACCTTGGGAGCAGATGACCCCTCTGCCCAGATCCGGTGAACACCTATTCATCCATCAAAGCCCCAGCTCCCACATCCCTTCTCCAGGCTGAAGCCAGGGGGATTGGAAGCAGACTCTATATATATAGAGTAGGCACTGCCTGGGGATGGCAGCTATGACGGTGGGACGTGGCCTTCAGAATCCAGTCCATCGTTGGGATTACATTGTTTTGTGGGTGAGGGGAATCGTTTACGGACACTCCAGGTTGTATCCAAACTGGGCTAGTACAGGTGACTTCAACTCAATCCCCTCAAATGGGTGGGTGTGGGGAAGGGAATGAGACCAGGTAACATAAAACACTTAAAAAGTACAGAAAAACTAGAAAACACAAACACAGATGACTTGTCCAAAGTGCTTCCTTCTCAGCCCAGAGGGCAGGGCCTGCAAACAGGGTCCCAGGTGCCTGGGGCAAGACCTGGCGGCCGCCTGCAGGGGGCGGCTCAGTCTGGCTATCGCTTATAAAAAGTAATAAATTAGGCTGGGCCCAGTGGTTCACACCTGTAATCCCAGCACTTTGGGAGGCCGAGGTGGGCAAATCATGAGGTCAGGAGTTCGAGACCAGCCTGACCAACATGGTGAAACCCCGTCTTTACTACAAATACAAAAAATTAGCTGGGCATAGTGGCGGGCGCCTGTAATCCCAGCTATTTGGGAGGCTGAGGCAGGAGAATCGCTTGAACCTGGGAGGCGGAGGTTGCAGTGCGCTGAGATCACGCCACTGCACTCTAGCCCAGGCAACAGAGTGAGACTCCGTCTCAAAAAAAAAAAAAAAAAGTAATAAATTAGTTGCAGGGATTTGCTGCTATTTACAAAGCTACCCTTATCCCCCATTCCTGCCCCATCCAGCCCCCTGATTGACACCAGAACACAAGGGAAGTGATGTCTCCACCTCCCAGCAAGGACCAAGATGGCTTCTTGCCTTCCAGGTGTCAGGCTGGTGGCTCAGTCCCCATCCAGGCGTGACTTTACAGAAAAAACATTGCACAAGGAAACGTGTGACTTTGAGGCCAGGGAGACACCTGGCAGGGGGATCAGTCTCTCCCGGCGGGCCCGAGAGCTACTGGCACGGCTTCCTCGCCCTCCACGGCAATCTGTGGCACTGAGGAGGGCAGCCCAGTGGCCTCCTCCTGCGGCTCATCAAAGCTAACCTCCTGCACGGCCTCCTGCTTCTTGAAGGAGTCTCGGCGCTCGGACAGGTGCAGTCGCCGCATGACCACGAGCTCGGCTTCTGGCCCACGACTGCGCCGCCCTGCCTCCCCATCCAGCCGCTCCCCTGTGCCCAGCTTGTCAGCTGACTGGCCTCGGCGCAGCCGCGGGGATCGGGCAGGTGCTGGCGGGTGCCCGGGCAGGGGTGAGGGTGAGCGGGGTGGGGGCGCAGAGATGGGCGGGCAGGCCAGCGGGGAGGGCGGGATGCTGCTGGTGGACTTGCGACGGCCAGTCTTGGGGCGGGGTGGCCCAAGCTTGGCAGCCAGGCCATGCAGGGAGCTGGGGCGGGTGTGGCCGGCAGCAGCTGGGGAGGCGGGGCTGCTGGAGCTCGGGGATGCGCTGGGTGGGGATGCAGTGGTATCTGTGGGTGATAAGTATAGGTCAGGGCTGCTGGCCTCAATGTCCCCAGTCCGGAAGTGGAGCTGTGGGACTGATGAAAACTGCTAAAGCCCACAACCTTCCATGTGGCCACCCATCACGCCTGGTTGTTTTTGTTTTTGAGACAGGGTCTTGCTGTGTTGCCCAGGCTGTAGTGCACTGGCTCAATCATAGCCTCAGCCTCCTGGGCTGAAGCGATCCTCACAACTCAGCCTCCTGAGTAGCTGGGACAACAGGTGTACACCACCATGGCTGGCTAATTTTTTTTTTTTTTTTTAATAGAGTCTCGCTCTGTCACCCAGGCTAGCGTGCAGTGGCGTGATCTTGGCTCACTGCAACCTTCACCTCCCAGGTTCAAGTGATTCTCATACCTCCGCCCCCTGAGTAACTGGGACTACAGGCATGTGCCACCATGCCTGGCTAATTTTTGTATTTTTAGTAGAGTTGGGGTTTCTCCATGTTGGCCAGGCTGGTCTCGAAATCCCGACCTCAAGTGATCCGCCTGCTTTGGCCTCCCAAAGTGCTGGGATTACAGGCGTGAGCCATCATGGCTGGTTCATACCAGACTTTTCTGCCTCCTGCTCAGGGTTGTTTCCTTGGCCTAGCTCTGGTGAACTACTTACCCATCAAAGCCCCAGCTCCTACTCCCCCTCCTCCAGAAAGCCTTCTCTGTATCCCTTCTGGGTTTTTTCCCTTTTGTTTGA